TGATTTTCTCAAAACGTGGTTCTTATACACCTAAACTTTAAATGCTCACATCTCTGGAATTACTTATAGTAGGGAAGCCATTCAAAGACCAAATGAAGGCTTATAATGTGATCTACCCATATACTCAATTTTTGAATTTCTAACCATGAGACTCATATTGTGGTGAGACCTCACATTTTAGTGTATTTGTTTTTAAATTTCATCTCTGTAATTTAATGTATATTCTTATGTAACTTCTGTTTTAAATTCACTCCGCAAGTGCCACTGATACAGACTGACTTCAGAATTTATCGATAGCCATGACCTTTAACCTTGTTCTATTACCAAATTTAAACTTGATTTGTAATTGGTGGAGACCAGGTCTTCCTTTCAATTACTAAATTACTAGTTTTACAGTACACTAGAGACCTGTGCATTGATGCTTACAATAATAAGCTGTTTGATATTAATGGCTTGGATGTTGTTATCTGACACTTTCATGATTGTTGGGCCCAAAAAAAGTGGTTAGTTTTTCACCCCCCCCCCCCAAATCCACATGTCTTCTAGGGTATTAAAATGAAAAAAATTTCGTAAACTTTTTTTTTCCCCCATTTTTTAGTAAATAGTTATTTATGTACTATCTCAATCATGTGTTTAACATTGAATATCATGCCAGGGGACGATTGAGTGGGGCCAGGCAAGCCCTGGCCCCAGCCCTGCCTTTTTGAAAGGTAAACAAAAAAGAAAGAAAGAAAAAGAAAAAAAATGATCACTCAAAACGCCTCAGAGGTTATTTTCGGACATCTACAACACAAAAATGTCAGGGGGGAATTTCCCCGGACCCCCTAGGTTAGTGTTATCACGATTGGCCCCACTTTCAGCCCCTCTTTCAGGCATCTCTGGATCTGCCCCTGAATGCTCCAGCAAACAACCCAAGGGTGATATTTGGCTTTAGCACAATAAAAAGTATAAATAAAAAGCCTCCCTCCTGCATCACTTTTCCAGCCTAGATACGGTGATAAAATATTTTTTTTGTATTGGCCCATATAATTAAATATAAACATGTAATCTTTCATTCATCAACTGTGAAAGGTAACAATTTTTCTATTCGATCAGTCTGATAATGTTGTTTTTATATTTTGATAACTGAAGTGCCAATTTTCATAGTTGTTTTGTAGACCTTTCAATGTTTACATTGGCCTAGCTGAAACACTAGCGGTGCACTACCCCGGTTGGCAAACAATTTCGCGAGAATAGAAAAAATGCATTGGAAATCAGTATACTGGTTATCTTTATATTTGTTGTGCCAAAAATATGAAAGCTATATGGATGAAACTCACATATGGCATAGTTAAATATATTAGGAATAAAAAAAAAATCAATTATATTTTTTCTATTTTTATTCGATTTTTAAAGTAATTTTTGTCTTATCTCTTCGGATGGTGCCAAGAGCAAGTGCACTATGCCAAGAAAGTGAAAGAGTATGGCGACATGAAGGGCCTTGAATAGGCCTATGAAATTTCTGTTAACTACTCAATGACTTTACGCTGATTTCCAGTGCATTTTTGCTATTCTCTGCCAAATTTTGTTTGCCTACCAGGGTAGTGCGCTACCAGGCTCTCAGCCAGACCAATGTAAACATTGTAAGGGGTCTATTGAATATTATGTGCAATCTATTATGTAGATGTTTTACTTATTATACTGTATGATATTATTTTCTGGGTTTACATCTAGGATTTTGTCTTGTAACCAAAAAATATCTTCACTGTAAAAACCCAGAAAATGAGATATGTTAGCTGAAAGAGAATAAAATTTCAACAATTTAATTTTTTTGGAAAAAGTTCCCAGACAGTCTCTTTTCTGATCTTAACAGCCATTTGTAAAGCTATTCTCTGATCTTAATACACATTTTCATACCTTGTGTAATATAATATATTGTGAATTACAAATGGATAGCCATATGGGATTGGTGTTGAATGCTTGTTCATAGCAAACATACTCTCACTTACTTTAATTAAAACTGTTTTTAAGCAAACATTATTAATATATTATATACTCAATCAGCAAAAACCGCAGTTAATTCCATCACAATTGCCTAAGTTGACAAATACAATTGAATCAAATGGCGAACACGATTCTACAGTGGTTGTTTGCTGTCATCGTCATTCAATACGTGAAGTCGTACGGTATTTACACAATTTATCTTAAATTACTAAATAATAATCAATATAATTTTTATTGTCCACTTTTCATTACAAAAAAAAAAAAAAACTCCAGGAATTTATTTTTATGGTTTTGTTCAGAAAAATATATAACATCATGAAAACTAAAAGTAATTAAGAAAATCTAAACCCAAGCAATTGACAAATTAACACTAAGATATTAAAACAACACTGTTAGAATCTAAATGTCTTGAATGAATAAAGGATAAAAACAGGCAGGGTTGTATTTATGGTGAGCAGGGCCACCCAGCCTTGAAATTTTCCTTCCAGTCTAAAGCTAATTTCATGGCCCTCCACCCACCCTTGTTAATCCACTTTTCCATCCTTTTCAATATAGAGTTTACCAATGTTATCATGCACCCACCCAAAAAATGCCTATCACTCGCCCTTAGTTTTCTTCAGATACAACCTGAACATGGAGATATAAAAAATCTAATTTTATATCTCTTAGGTAAGAAATATATTTTCTATATTCAAAATATTCTTAAATATTTTTTTCTGTCATGTGGTATTACATATTTTTATAAATTTGTATATAGAACCAGGATTTCATGCTCCCTAATTTATAACTATACCCACATGGATGATTTGATTGCTATTAGCAAACCAGTTATGTTGTGCCGTAATGTAGTGAGATTTATATAGCACTTTATAACCCTGTTTATAATGAAGTCTCAAAGCGCTTGAGGTGTGGACAACCTCGTACAATAACTTGCTGCTCCCCTAAAGGGTCTCTATGTGTCTGATCTACCTGTACCAGCTATCTCAACAGGGTCTATATGAACCAGGGTAACTCCCTACTTATCTCGAAAGATGTACTGTGTTCTTTAAAGTGCGTACACTGAGCCTATGGTTTATCCGAGAAGATTGTTCCAGAACCATAGGGCAGCATGCTGTTTGAACCAGTGCCGATATTATGGCTGTACGTTCTGGTGCCCCTGCCCTAACGGCTTGGTTAAGAGGGGGGTCAGCATATTGTCCGAAGAATTTCCACTGTTGTATGTATTATTGCTCCAGTGTTTTGCATTCTAATGCCAATTTACACTCTTTTATAGGCATGTATATCTTTATTTTTGTTCTGTGTTGGTACTCATTTTGTAATTATTTTAGAATTTTGAAAATATATTTATATTATATGCTGCTTGCGTAAATGTTTGTATTTATCCAGTAATATGTTATTTATTTTGGATTGCAATAAAAATTAAACATAGACATTACACATTGAGAGATTGTGTGTTCTTTGCAGTAAATATTAGTATTATGCTGTAAATGTATTCTTGTATATGTGTAGATGTAAACCAGTGCATTAGTTTATTATGTTAAAATGTTATTGTACATGCAAGTATATGGCCGACCTTATGAATATCGCTGATTCAAAGTAGGCTTTCCATGGCCTGTAAATCCTTGGAGATAATAATATTATGGTACTGGTTATCAATTAAATATCTAGCCACATAAATCTATTGTACGGAACGGAATACATGAATAATAAATATGAAGACTGAATTGACGGTACCAGTAGTGCTCCTAGATTATGAACAAAAATAAATGATGCTACATATCAGGGTTGTGTACTGAAGTAAATATGGGGGGAATGGTTTAGGCTGATGAAAAAAGTCTTGATAGAAACTGGATTGAAAAGACACTACAGTATATTTTTTTGGCAGGACAATAAGAAAACTGATCTGTAGGTCTGTACAGAAAATTGTTTATATTTTGTGCGCTTTCTCGATAATCACTATACCGTATATTTTTGAATGCGGGTATAAGATGACCCCTAGTTTCAGAAGGTTTTTTGACGACTTTTGTATGTCGAGCATAGAACAGCACCGCCTGTTTCACCGTTGGAATTTTGTGATCTTTATGGTCTTAATACTGCATCTACCTGGCTAAAAACGAAGCCAAATATAGGGCTCATCATCCAAATAATACCATTTTTATTAAATGTTATCAAAATCTTATTTCTCCACATTTAAAATTGCGTTCATTTATACTAACAGGTACAGTACCTTCATTTCAGTAGTTAACTCACATGTTACGGACGATTTGCACATAAGACGAACATGATATAAAAAATCAAAAATTTATATGGTGCGAGAATAAGACGCCCCCTGTTTTTTGAGTAATTTGAACCTTGTCTCATATGCAAGAATATATGGTAAACATCTAATTGTTTTAAAATTTTGAATTATCTCTTAAGCTGGTTTTACACTAAGGGAATTTATTCCTGCGAATCAAAAGCATCGGGTTCATGCGCATTCACATCCCTCTCGCAGTTTTTCGCTTCAGCGACATCAGTAGTCTGAACTGTTACTACTTACTGCGAAGCAAAATAATGCGCAACCAATCAGAGATCTGGAAGCGAACCAACGCTTTCGATTCACGCTACTTAATTCGCCTAGTGTAAAACCGGCTTTAGAAGTCATAGGAATACTTCGTCATCAGCAGTTGGGTCAATAACTGAGCTACCACCTCATATCACATGTTATTCCACTTATAAACTTATTGTTGAACTTCCTGCCAAGTACTCATTTAAACTTTCCCCAGGTACAAATTAATGTTTCCAGGTATTAGTTTATATTTCCAGTATCAATTTCTACAGAAAACGATTATCATGTTAAGGAGACTCCTTAATGTCCTTTTGGTTTCTTAATACAGTGTAGATAGTACAGTACATCATTTAATGAAATTTATTATAACAATGGCACAAGATTTGAGTTGATGTCGATGACGTGTGTTAACAGCGGCTTTGAGAAGAGAGAGACTTCAACATAGATCAGGGGTCGCAAGTTGCTGCATTAGAGTACCGGGAGATCTGGGTAAAAAGAGCTTTTTTTAACACATTTACAGTAAATGATTACGTATCAGTACACTGACAATTGATATTAAAAACAATAAAAACATACAAATATTATGAATTTGTTGGAGATGGGATATTTTCCGAGAGATTCTTGCTTGCTGCGGGAGTGTGGAGGCCATCCCGATTTCCGGCAAACTCCTGCGATTTCGTGGGAGACTTGGGACCCTTGATAGACTGTAATGTCCGAGTTTGGTCTTGTATAAGTCTATTCAAGACCATTCATAGACATGATACAAGATAATTTTGTAGTCCAAGTTTCCACTGGCAATTTTACAAGGTACAAAAAACAGAGTACAGTCCAGTAATAGATAAAACATTAATAAACAAGAACAGTAAGTAAAAATATAAACACAATACACAAAACATCTCTGATAACAACTTTAAAATAGGCCAAAAATTGCACTTAAATTTAACATCTTTTAATATTAGTATTGTGCAGAATAGAATTAGGAACAAAGGAATTTCTATAGTGGACAAGGGAAGAAAAAATTTAAAAAAAAAAAGGAAGAAAAAGAAAAAATTGATTGCCCAAAATGCCTTAGAGGCTACTTTCAGGCGTCTAGAAGACAAAAATTATAACACTACCCCCCTGAGATAGTGTTATCTCCATCAGCCACACTTTCGGCCCCCCTCTTTCGGACATCTCTGGATCCGCCCCTGGTGGCAGCATGTGGTGGGTGGCACATTTAAGCAGAAACTGGAATTGCTAATAAATCATTTAATGAGCTTGTCACTACTTGGGTAAAGGGAACTTCTAGGCATTCTTCTCTTTGTCTGGAAGTACTGTATATGTTCATGATTCAAGTTCTACTTTGAAATAATTGCACAGTGAGAATGTCAATGACCTGGTACAGCATCCGGCTGACCAGCGTTATAATAATACTATAATGCCTTGGGCAGAATCCCTGGGAATGTGTACATAAAGCCATATTATTGCTATAGCATTGAAAAATATTCATGAATAACTTGATTTCTTACCGCAGAAGGAAATATGGATGTCTTGATACTGTATTCATATTCTAATTAAGTCAGAGGAAGCGGTAAATATATTCCTTTCTTAAAAAGCTGAGTTTCCATAAAATCGCTCACCTTATTGGTGACAGTCTGGTTTAACCTTGCCAATTGCGTTGCAGACGAATCCGGGTGCATTGCTAGCAGCCCTGAAGGCACTCCGATTTGTCTGAAACGCAATCAGCGAAGTTGAACCAGGTTCAACCTTCCCGACAACTGCCGCCGATAGGGTCAGCGATTCTATGGAACCAAGCTATATGCATCAGAAGTCATTTCTTAATTCTCCAGACTCAAATTTTATTTGACAAAAAAAACTGTTGTATGTCCATATATAATCATGATGTGCCTATATATGGTCATGATGTGATGTCATCATAACCATATATAGTCATGATGTGCCTATATATGGTCATGATGATGCTGAATAGAATTTGATAGTGCTGACAGGCCTTTAAAGATTTTCACCTGCAGAAGTGTGCTGTGCACAAACATGTTTATCTTTTCAAAAAAGTGTACTTAGTCTTAAGTGTTACCTGCAATACTTAACAATTATTTTTATTAGGAAATATTATTATTCTAGGAGTGATGTTTTGCCCTACCTGACGTGTTATCGTACTATTACTCAGTATGTTCCCAAATATTGCGAGAAAAACAATTTGCAAATGATTGTGGTGGGAATCGAACCCACAACCTCCAGATAACTAGCCTGGTGCCATAACCACTAGACTACTAAACATGCGCTTAGTGACTAGTGTTGAATCTCATCCCGAGGTAGCAGCGGGTACTGCAAATGCTATTTCGATGCAAGTTTACTTCATTAACATATTCTAGGAGGAGTGATGTTTTGCCCTACCTAAATTTTTCAAGTGAATCAGGTGCGAATCCAACCCACGACCTCCAGATCTAGCCTAGACTACCGTGATGCAAACTTGCATCGAAATATATAATTATTATTACCAGTATAACAGTATGTTTTTAAGAACAAATCATAAATGCTTTAGTTTAGAGAGCCTGTTACTAGTATACAAGAAGTTTTTTGATCATTTTGGGTCAATAGTCAGGGATGTAGTTATGGTGGGCGGTGCCATACAGCCTTGAGGGTTTTTCCACCCAGTCTAAAGCAATTTCATGGCCCTCCACCCACCCTTATTAACCCACTTTTCCATCTTTAAAATCCACTCTGATATTTAGAGTTTACCAATGTCATCACACACCCCTAGTTTACTTCAGCTACAACCCTGAATAGTGTTTAAAATACTGTGCCTAACAACAACATGCATGCATACATTTCAATAGCTATAGAAATATATTTTCAAGAGCTTTTTGTAGTGCATTGTACCATGGTGCTAAGAGCAAAAGATTAAAGCTCTCTAAGCAAAAGAAGATGAAAATATATTTGAATAATAATAGGAGTTTGCCTTTCACATGTTTTTAGGTAGGGTAGGATGACAGCATTATTTTGTGTGTTATGACAGTGGAG